ATGGTGACCTGTGGATATGGCGCGTAAATCTTGTCAATGTCTTTCCATTCGCGAGTAAATTCGGGAGTCCTAATGGTCGATTGCGGTATGTCTAATAATTCCGCTGGGGATGGCAAGTCCCAGGAGATGCGCGTCGGTTGTTCGACGGTAGTTGTTTGCGAGAGGTCGTGTGAGGATGGTTCCTGTTCTGGTTCAGCTTGATCTTCGGATGGCTGTATAGGTTCCTGGGTGGAGAGAGGTGATCCCCAAGATACGCGTTTTCTTGGTTTTGGGGTACTAGTTGCCAGTGCCTCGTGCTCTTGCTCCGTGGTGACGTTGTCATCCATCATGGTGGAGTTTGCATTGGGCTCGATCTTTTCTGGTTCTATATTTCCTATCGATTGTGTTTCGTCCAGGATCATGGATGGTGGTTCCTCGTAATTTGGCCTAGATTGGGCCGCCCGACGTGATCTTACCCGGTTTGCGATGGGTTCTTCTGTGTTGGTGATCTGATCTGAGGGTATTATTGGTAGTGCAAATGGTACCGGGTTTCTTGACAAGGCATCTGCGTTCGCGTTTACTCGGCCTGGTTTGTATATGATCTCATAATTATAGTCCTCTAGGAGTATTCTCCAGCGGGCTAGGCGTGATACTGGGTCTTTGACCGAGAATAGCCATTGTAGAGGACGATGGTCTGTTACTAGCGTGAACTTTCTGCCATATATGTACGTTCTGAAATGTTTTACGGCAAAGATGATTGCAAAGCATTCTTTCTCCGTGGTCGAATAATTTTGTTGAGCCGGCGTGAGGGCTAGCGACGCGTAGGCAATAGGTGGATCTTCGCCTATTTTGCCCTGACTTAGGACAGCGCCGACAGCGATGTCCGATGCGTCGGTGGTGATAATGAAGGACTCGTCGAAATTCGGATAGCGCAAAACCGGTTCTTTACACAGTGTCTGTCGTAATGCCTCAAAACTTTTCTGATGAGCTTCGGTCCATGTGAAGGGTTTCTTGGGACTGGTTAGTTCTGTCAGAGGTTTGGCCTGTTGTGACAGATCTGGGATAAATCGCCTATAGTAGTTTACCAAACCTAAAAATTGTTTCAGTGTTTTTCGCGTGGTCGGAGTCGGAAAACTTTCTACTGCTCGAATTTTCTCCGGGTTTGGTCTTATTCCTTCGGACGAGATGATGTGGCCCAAATAGGTCACCTCTTTCTTTAGAAATTCCGCCTTATCCGGTTGCAGAGTGAGGTTATTATCGCGAAGGCGTTGGAACAGAGTTTCGAGTCGTGTTTCCATTTCCTCCAACGTGCGTCCGTAAACTACTATATCGTCGATGTATACGTATAGGATTTTACCAATTAGTCCCTTCAAAACGAGTTGCATAAGCCTTTGAAAAGTAGCGGGTGCATTTTTCAAACCGAACGGCATGCGCGCATATTCGTAGTGTCCATCCGGAGTCGAGAATGCCGTTTTCTCCTGGTCCTCCGGGGCCATGCGTATCTGGTGAAATCCATTTGCCAAGTCGAAAACAGCGAAGTATTTTGCACCTCCTAACCGGTCGAAAATATCCGATATGCGGGGAATCGGGAAACGGTCGTCGATTGTTTTCGCGTTTAATTTACGGAAGTCTACGACCATTCTCCAACGCACATTTCCTTTCGAGTCCGGTTTTTTCGGAACGAGCCAGAGGGGCGAGTTGTACGGGGAGTTCGAGGGAACTATTACCCCTAAATCCTCTAAGTTCTGTATTTGTTTCGATATTTCCTTTTCCTGGTCGACGCTAAAGGGATACTGTCGTGTAAATACCGGAGTCTTGTCATCCACAGGGATATTGTGAACGATTGCCTTTGTATCTCCCAGAGGATCGCCGGGAATAAAAAATCTATCCGCGTAACGTGCTACGATACTTTCGACCATGCGTCGCGGTTTATCTTCTAAATGATCTAATTTTAGTGCTTTATTAATGTTTTGGATTCTCTCGGCGTCGGTTAGTTGCGTGACGACATAGTCTCCTAGATCTTCGCCTTGAAATTCCAGCTGTTCGTCTGACAGCGGAGTCAGCGGCCTAGGTAGGTCAATAATGTCGGTCGCGTTGCGCGTTTCTTCACCCGATTCCCGAGAATTTTGTTGGGTCAGCTCTTCGACGGCGCGGTGCGCGTCTTCGTCGGTATCGTTTGTGTAATCGGCTGACGCAACTCTTGTACATTCCTGTTTACCGAGGAGCGCTCGTGGTGCTTCCTGGTCGCGTTGGCAAGAGGTCAGCGTTTCTTTTATCTCCCGTGAGTTCGAGAATCCGATTGGATGAATCGGTCGTTTGCTCGTTACTAGGGTTCTATGGTGAAAGGAAATTTCGCTTTCTTCTTGCAGGAGGTACGGGCTACCTAAGAGGCCTATTACTCCGTCAGGGAAATCCGGGTTGTCGACGACGTAAAAGAGAGTTTGGCTTCCGTTTATTTTAATGCTTATAATGCCGGCAGCGATGATGTATCCTTGCAGTCCTTTTACGCTGACGCTCTCGCATTTAATGATCGGCGCGTCGGTCCGTAGCGCGTTTGACTTAATCAAGTTCAACATCGAGCCGGTGTCTATAATAAATTCTCCGTTGCCTTTGTTCAGTTCCTTTGAGCGGATCCGGATTCGCGGCGAAGGAGCCTGTAAGAGTCCTGGGGACTCGCTTGTGGCCGTTGGGGATCGCGGCGAGGCGTAAAAGCTGCGCCCGCTCGATTGTCCGCGGGTGAACGGGCGCGACTGAAGTTTAAATTTTCTCTGTCTGGAGTGTTATTGTGCGACGGCCTGTTATCTAGTCTTGGCGGAGGATCGCGCCCACGTTCAGGATAGCTATTTCCTGGCGGTCGGCGAGGTCCTTGGCGCCGATTTGGACCGCGTGAATAATTATTTGAATAATTCGTTTGGCCTGAATATTGAGTTCCGTGTGCTTGATAGTGGTTATGATAGCGTGGGCCTTGAGGTGGCGCCCTTTGAGCGTGGCCACACCCGCAGAACCAAGAAGGCTGCGGGGGCATGTATGGCGCGCAACCGTGTGGGCATCCGGCCCCGCACGGTGGAGCTGTGTACCGAGATTGACACGTATTTACCGGAGGGGCCGCGGGCTGGGCCGAATTCGTGTAGCAAGAACCGCATGGGTGGCTAGGATATTCCGGTTGCACTTGTTGTGGCGGTTCCCGCCATTCCGACCAGGTGCGATTGTAGTCGTATGGTGAAGGAGGGGTTGCTGGCAAAGGGTTGACCGGTGGTTTAGTCGGAGGGGCTGATTTTTTCATTTTCGCGTCGTTTTTGTCTATCAAGAGTGCCTCGTCCATGATGTCGGTGAGTGTGGTTTTCCGGGCAGTCATTACGGCCTGCGATAGTTTTGATGGCAAGCCTCGGATGAAGGCTCGCCCCGCTAAGATGTCGAATTTTTCGGGGTCGAATTCGTCGCCCTTTTCGTCGCGACCGCTGGCGGATGCCTGATAAAGTAGCTTCGAGAAACGATGCGTATATTCTAGGACCGTTTCGTCGTCCCTCATCGGGAGGTTCCCGAGTTCTAAGCAGAGTTCCTTATAGGTCTTGTTAGGAGCGTATCTCTTTCGAAGCAACTTTAAGAGGTCGACGACGCTTGTGCAGTTCTGATGCTCTACATAAATTCTAACGTGTTGAACTAATTTATCCATAAGACCTTCGAGAAATCTGGTCTCTAGGCCGGACGGGACTCGTGACTTTACTTTATGAATTGCGGTCAGAAAATCTTCGAACGAAACCTTCTCAGGGTCGAAATCAGGGATTTTTTCTAAAACGCGATCCACCTTTTTCTCCTCCCTTTCGGCGATGAACCATGAATCATAATGGGATGTCCCGGATTGTCCGAGGCTCCGTGTGTCTCTTACGGACGGCGAGGACGTAGGAGGCGGTGGTGGGTTGCGAGAGGGAATCGTGTCGTGAACGAGAGGCATGGTGACGGTTATAAGGGGGCGAGCGTTAAAGTAGCAAGGGTGTGGTCAAGTTACGGCGCGTTGAGCCACGGAAATGAATGAATTTCGATATTTGTTTAAATTACGTGAATCCGTATGTTTAACGATATCCCACTTCTGACACCAAATTGTTATGTCCCACCTTAAGGATGGTTATTTCACTATTACTATGTTCTGGGTTCTGCCGATCAAAACGCTAAAGCGTACCTTGACCTTCCTTGCAGGTAGTATAGGAGTACAGGATGGAGTGTTCAATTATTAAAGATAGACATGTATGGGTCTTCAATAGATATATATATATATTCTGTCCCTGTTGTTACATACCCTTCGCCGACTTCGGGTGTTGTTCGTCGCTCGTTCGTTCTCGTATTCACTCGATGGTCATTCACACTGAGGGTCTCGGTTTTCGCTTGCTTCGCGGTTCGGACGATACACTAGACTCGCGACGCGTGGCTACGACTCGACCTTGGAGATACAAGCGGTTGGTGGTGGTCCTGCACAGCACACGGGTGCACTCCTGGACTTGGTCCAATTATGGGTCTGTTATCTCAGACCACGGCGACACACTCGTGTTGAACCGTCGGGCGAGCACTTCGTCGATGATCTTCCTGGTTTCGAGTTTAGCCTTACTCGCGGATCTACTGCGGGTCGCGAACGGACAGAACTTCGTCTCTGCTTTACGCTATCACGGAACTGGCGTACCTGCGTTGTGGCGATAACTTATACTCCCAAAAGGGGAGTAGGTCACGCTCTTTGCTTGCGAAAACCTGCAAGCAAAGGGTTTTCGCCATCGCATTCCGCGAGTTCCCCGATTTCGTATCGCGGGCGTCGCTAAGCGAAAAAACGCTGATGTTACGCGGATTCCAAAGCGAGACCTCCTTGAAATGGCGAAAGACGAAAATGGGTTATAACTAGGGACGTAACAAGCTCCTCTAACGGTAAATCTTTGAATGACTGCCTCCACGTAGGGCCCAATTTGCAAGCAAATCTGTTTGCGATACTGATTAGGTGGCGTTGGCACCGCTTCGTATACACGGCGGACATTGCGAAAATGTTCCGCCAAATACGCGTAGCACCCGAAGACACTAAATATCAGTGTATCTTCTGGCGTCCTTCAGAAAACTCTCCGCTAGCAGCTTATCGTTTGGAAACCGTCACATACGGCACGGCGTGTGCACCCTTTCATGCCAATCGCGTCTTAAAACAACTCGCGAAAGACGAAGGCGAAAAGTATCCGTTGGGAGCAGCCATCTTGTTAGACGAATTCTACGTAGACGATGCTATGTTCGGTGCAGACGATCCGTCGCTATTGGTAGACATGCGCGATGAGCTGAACCGATTGCTCATGGCGGGCGGGTTTAAATTGAGGAAATGGGCAAGCAACTCTTCGTCACTCCTCAAAGATATCCCAGCAGAGGATCATGGGTTAGCGGTTAGCAGAACCTTGCAAGATGACGAAAGGGTTAAGGTGTTAGGAATTCAGTGGAACCCTTCCTCCGATGTCTTTCATTTCCATACGAATACTCCCGAACTTAAGAAATATACGAAGCGGGCATTCTTATCGCTATTGGCAAAAACGTACGACCCGTTAGGTTGGATAGCACCCTTTATTGTTCAAGGAAAAATAATCTTACAAAAGTTGTGGTTGGCAAAAGTTAGCTGGGACGACAATTTACCTCCAGATTTAGCACGCGATTGTGAGAAGTTTCACTCAATGCTCTTCTACACAAGAGATATTTCGATTCCTAGATGGGTAGGAGTAGGAGGGGAGATAAAAACGGTGCAGCTACACGGCTTCTGTGATGCCTCTCACTTAGCGTACGCTGCAGCGGTGTATATCCGAGTAGAGTCTTCGTCAACAAAGGTTACGCTGCTGTATGCAAAAACTAAGGTGGCCCCGTTGAAAGTGCAGAGCATTCCTCGGCTTGAACTCGGCGCGGCTGAGCTGTTGAGTCGGGCGATCAATTTTGTTCTTGGGGCGTTGCGAGTCAAACTCGATGCCATCGTCTGTTGGTCAGATTCAAAGGTTGTATTAGATTGGTTAAATGCACATCCAGGAAACTGGAAGACCTTCGTAGCAAACCGAGTATCAGAAGTGCAAACGAGCTTACCTTCGGCTCTGTGGCGTCACGTTCCAGGGACGCAAAACCCCGCCGATTGTGCGTCGCGAGGATGCTCAGCCAGGGATCTCAGGACGCATGATCTCTGGTGGAGTGGACCGAACTGGCTGTCAGATCCCTCGGAGAGCTGGCCACAGCAAGGGTTCACTCCAAGGGACGAGCAGGTCGGCGAGGAATGTTCGGTACAGGTGGTTTCAAACGTAGATCACAAGGTGGAACCGTTGGAGATCTTCTCTCGTTTCTCTTCCTGGCCTAAATTATTGAGAGTACTTGTATACGTGTACAAATTCTACAACGCGTGCAGAAAAAGTCCAAACACAGAGAAAGGCAAGGTCGTCTCGAAGACAGAAATACAGTTCGCAAAAACTAAATGCTTTCAACTGACACAAGCTAATCACTTTCCAACAGAATTGAGAGAACTTGCTAAACCAAAAGGAGTGCTAACTAAAAGTTCAATTTTGGCTCTTTCCCCGTATTTAGATAAAGATCACATAATTCGCGTGGGTGGGCGCTTAAAGTACTCACCTCTGCCTGAATCGGAGAAACATCCGATAATACTTCCGCGATGCCACGTCACTTCACTAATTTTGAAGCACGTGCACATCATGACGCAGCATGGAGGGCTGCAACTGACATTGCGAACCCTGCGCCAGCAGTATTGGGTCATTCACGCGCGAACCCAAGCAAAAGGGCTAATAGCGAAATGCGTAATTTGCGTTCGACAGCGCGCACAAACCTTACAGCAGCAAATGGGAGACTTGCCACGAGAACGCGTAACCCCAAGTCGCCCGTTTAGTATTGTGGGAGTCGATTATGCAGGCCCATTTGCATGCCGCGTCTCACAAGGCCGCGGGCAAAAAACACGAAAATGTTACCTTGCGCTGTTTGTTTGTTTGTGCGTTCGGGCTGTCCACTTAGAATTAGTCAGCGACTATACCACAGCCACATTCTTAGCCGCGTTCGAGCGATTTACGTCACGAAGAGGCCTGCCCTCGAAAGTTTTTTCCGACAACGGCACAAATTTTAAAGGCGCATGCAACGAAATTAGGTCGCGAATACGAAACCTTAGTTCGGATAACGAATTTTGTAACGATGTGGCCACGCGGGGAGTGGAGTGGAAGTTTATCCCGCCCGGTGCGCCACACTTCGGCGGTCTATGGGAAGCAGGGGTCAAGAGCGTTAAGCACCATTTAAAACGAATACTAGGCTCCTTTAACCCCACTTTCGAAGAGTTTTCGACACTACTTTGCAAAATAGAATGCTGCCTCAATTCGCGTCCATTATGTCCGCTTCGTGACGATCCGGAAAGTTTCGATGCACTAACCCCGGGTCACTTTCTCACAGGTTCTCACTTAATGTCCGTGCCTGACGCTTCGTTGTTAGACGTAGCTGACTCGCGACTTTCGAGATGGCAGGCAATACAAAAAGTCCATGAACGATTTTGGAAGCTGTGGTCCGCGGATTACTTGACAACACTGCAAACTAAAACGAAATGGCGAATCGCGAGCGAGTCGTTGCGTGTCGGCGATTTAGTTCTTCTGCGGAATAGCAATCTCCCTCCAACTCAGTGGAATTTGGGAAGGGTAACAGAGATTTTCACGGGCGGGGATAATCTCGTGCGAGTGATTCGGGTAAGAACGGCGACAACCGAGTACACAGACCGATCACTCAAGTATGCAGACTGCCTGTGAATGAAGAATGAATGAGACTGTTTATAAACACAGAGTGCGAATGAATGAGTATGCGCGGTACATTGTCATAGAAGTGAAGCGACCAAGCGTCACGGTCGATCACGAGTGATCGAGGCGGGCGGAAATGTTTGTGAAAGAAAGCATCGCCAACAAATTATTAATAATTAAATTAAACATTTATTGTAATGAAAGGAAATACATTCTAACAATCGCAGAAAATAAAAGCCGTTCTAGAACAATCTCGCGCTAAACCGGACAAAAAGAAAGGAATCGCAAAAAACTGTCGAACGCGGAGACGAAAAAAGGGCCTGACCCCGGCCTCCGCGCCCCACTCTCCGGCCCGGCACGGAAGAGTGTCAGGCACTCACACATAGACAAGTCGCGAAACATATTACCAAATAAGGCAATAAAAAGGTCACGGAGCCCCCTAATTGGCGCTCGGGAGCTCCGTGAAACAAATCCGTGTGCCTGCCGGAATCTATAAAGGAGCCGGAACAACAAAGGCGATTAGAACAATTAGAGTAACAATCCTTGGCGAGCGAGTACAGTATCTTTCAAAGTTTTAAACGAGTTGCGCGAACAGTGACTTGTAACCACTAGCCTCCGCGGTAAGCGGCTCTCGTATTAAATAAACTATCTCCTAGTCAAAGTGAAGCGCATTTATTTAAAACCCGATTCACTAGCGGCATAATAGTGCGGCAAAAGCCAGCTATAAATTCGCAAACACTACATGAAATGTAATGTAGTATACATTTAATAACAATATCATTAATGGCACGTTAACTTTAGAAATGTAATATACATTTAATAACAATGTTATCATTACTATATCTACATGAGATATAATGTAATATACTCTTAATAACAATGTCATTATTACTATATTTTTTTTTTTTATTAAGCTTTCAAAGCATTACATAGATTTATTCGCTTTTGGGAGTGGGGAGGAAAAACAACAAAAAACAAAAAAAAAGAGAAAGATAGAAAAAAAAAGTCCTATAAACAATTCATACAATTGATACTTTCAGATTACAGCTTTTAAGAAAGGAAACAACACATGTGCACGCAGCAATATGGGGTTCCCTGAGTAACAAACTCATTTTTAGAGGGAACTGGAGCTTTACATCTAAAAGCTGCTTAATTAATTTAATCCTTTGAGAATCGTATAAAGGACATTGCCAGACGATGTGATCAATGTCTTGAGGCTATTAGAACATGTGCATTTTGGGTCGGGTACAATGGAGACTCGAGCGAGAGACGCAGCCAGATTATAATGAGCGGCTCTGCAGCGATTGATTGTGACAATCATTTCCCGTGAGAGCTCTCTATTGTGGAACCAGGGTTTGGTACTTGCTGTGTGGAAGTTCTGAAAGAATTTTACTTCCTTCTTTGTACCTAGCTCGGCTATACAATTCCTAGTGTTCGAAACCATGGCCTTTCTGAATGATTCGCCTGCATCTGTAAATGGAATTTCATACGGGTTAACTGTATTTGGATTGGAGTTGCTCGCTGTCTTGGCTAGAGAATCGGCAAGTTCATTCCCAAGTATTCCATGATGGGACGGAATCCAGTAGAATTTAATGCAGCCTGCCTCTGATTTTTTGCGTGAAAATTCGAGATATTTCCGTTTGATCTCGAGTATATGAGGGTTGGTTTTTATGTTAGAGGCAGGGTGTGACAGACTCTCAAGAGCGCTAAGGGAGTCGGAGAAAATATAGTTATAAGAGCTGGTGTTCTTAAGAGTAATGTCAACTGTGTCTTTTATCGCAATACATTCGGCGATGTAGATAGAAGTATTTATCGCTTCTCGGCCTATGGCATCGCTTCTCGGCCTATGGCTAAGATCAAAGTGTAGTATCTGTTCTTATCAGCTTAATATCTGATACACTCCCCATTGGGGAGTCAGAATATTAATCTCATTTTTGAAAACGGTCGGATTTCGGAGCTTGCTCCGACTCCGACACGGGTCGCACCTGTATTGCATTACCGCAGGACGCGGCCCACACATACTACTCTAAACATACATTGCTCTTTTCTATTTCTTTCTTTTAAATATTCTGACTCCTCTTCTCTATTCTCTAGTCTTTTTTGTATTTTTATTTTTCTTTTATCCGCGATCGCGTCTGGCTTTTCCAACGGCGGTGCGACTCGCTCAGCACAGCGGCGACTGACTGCGCGGTAAGTGGAGCTTGGGAGTCTGGTGGTGGTTTTTTGTAGTGTTGCGTACTGTAGAGTGGTGCCACCTGGAGCAGGCAAAGCGCTGTCGACTCCAGGCGGACTGTTTCGATACATCGAAACCCTTTCGCGCCGTATCCGATTCCGGTGCGGCTTTGCTCGCGTTTGTTTTGTTTTGTCTCTATGTTTAGCTGTTATCCGTGAGAACGCTGGTCGTTTAAACCGATAACAGCTGTTTGTCCCACCAACCGACTTGCCGAAATCCACTTTTTGCTGTAGTTTTTGTGCTCCCGTATAGGCTAAATATAGACATTTAGACCGTTACGGGTAGACTTTATTCCATTATTCTAGCTATTTAGCTAGAAATTTTTCTATTTGCAGTAGAGTAATTAGCTTTTTTCCGATCAATTATCGAGGTACACGGGTCCCTTTACAACTTGTGTAACTCGATATTAACAGTCTAGTCCCCTGTGTGCGGTAATTTGCAGATTTAATTTGCAAATTATCGCGGAGAGCGACTCGCACGGTCGTCCTCGTTTCGTTCGTTTTGTTTTTATTCTTTTGATCTCAATCTAGTCACTAGATTAAGGTTTTATTTTATTTTATTTTATTTTATTATTCTGATTTATTTACTTTGCTTTTATTTATTTTCGTTTATTTATTTCCTTCTTTTTTTTATTTTCGCGACATATATACCATAAGTATATATACCCGTTTTTATTTGTTTTTATTTGTTGATTTTATTTTCTCTCTATTCTAATTTGCTTTATTTTATTTTATTAATTTATTTTCTTAGTTCTAAGTTTTAAGTATTGACTGGGGAGTCCCTATTCTATATCAGTGCTGACGGTTTTACTATATTATTTTATTTTATTTTATTTTATTAGCTCATTTTATAGTCATATACTTATTTTATCTATTCTTTTTATTATTTATTAATTACATACCATGACGAGCCCTCAGCCGAGCTGCACTGCCAGGGGAAATGATGTGATAATTACGTTCCCCTTTCCCGAGACATTCCCCTGCCCCTTCTGCAATGTAGGGGTGCCGTCAAATTGGATCCGGTCGGCCGTGTACCAGCGGCACGAGGACCTTGGGAAGCACTTGCGCATCCATCACCCTGGCGCAAGTAGAAAGTGGGTCTGCGGGGTGTGTTCCTTCACGGACAACAGTGTCTATGCACTGAAGAAAGTGAGGAAGCACCACGCGGACTCACATAAAGGTAGTGAAGAGCCTCGTGCTGCTGGGGCGCGGCCGTCGGTTAGCGCAAGTAGCAGCAACAGTAGCAGTAATAATAATGACGGCGGCAGTGCACCCCCGGCTGAGGGTGATTCAGCCGAGAAGCGACCCCAATCAGACGCGACACCGGTCGAGATGACGCAGAGGCCCTCTCCGTCCCCGATGGAAGCGGCAGGGACCACCACGGGTGGAGGCGCGCTCACGCGCGCCGCTAAAACTACCCTAACCAACTCCCGGACCACCGTGGCTGCCAAAACCAAGACTGCGCCGAAGAAGAAACCTGTAATTACTTCATCGGTGACGGGGAGAAACCTACTGACGGGCTGGGCCATAAAAACTGCGACAGCGACAAGGAAGAGCGGGATGCCGTCCAGCCCCGCCGATGGACGACCTCCATCCACGGGGAGTCCCGCCGCCCCGCCGACCGTGGACCTCACCACCCCACCAGCGGGGACCGGCACCGCAAAGAGGACTAGCGGCGGGCCAGTATCAATGAGGAGGCCAAGCGGGGGGGTAACTTCCATCTTAACCCCCCCACTAAAAGAGAAAGAGAAGAGCCCGGGGACGAACAGAAGAAGCACCCGGGCCACAACGGAACCTCCTCGACCTGGCCCGTCCCAACGAACCGCCATCACCGCCACAAGAAAGGTGACACCCGCCGTCACGTATGCGGAAGTAACGAGGGGCACGTCGACCACAACTACCATGACCACCAGGAGGATGACACGGGCAACCTCCCTCCCGCCCGTGTCAAGAGAAGTTGGAGCCGGGGGCGTATCCACAGCCCAAGCGCCCCCCACCAGGCCGGTGGTCGCGACGTGCACCTTCGCGACGGCGGGAACACTGACCCTGACGACGACCTCGGTCTATAGCAAACCAGTGGCCGTCGTCACCGTCGCAACAAGAAGGAGCGGGGGTGGAACCTCGCCGAGGGGGCTCAAGAAGAGGCTTCAAGAGGATACGGTGCTCCTGGAGTCCACGCCGACGACCAGGGCGCGGGCTGCCAGGGCAACCACGGAGCCACCTCGGACCCCCCCCAGGACAAGGAACGACGAAAGGAGGAGCCCGCCAACGGGAAGTGCGACGGTGAACGACATGGCCAACCAGAAGACGCCAGAGGAGCGCCCTGTGACGAGACGGAGTACCCGGGCGAAGACTATGTCGCCCGGGGAGACACAAGAGAAGAGAAGGGGGGACGGACCCGTCACCCTACCGTCCCCCACTACAGGGCGCACCGGGAGAAGAAATCTTCTCCCTGCTATAGCCGAGGCGTCGCCAGCGGTACCAGCGGCGCCGGTGGAGGAAATGAAGACTGGAGGAGGAGGAAGAAGAAGAAGAGGAACAAGAGGTAATGAAGATGAGGAGGACTGGCGGGACGTCACGCCGCGGATCACGAGGAGAAGGGCTGGGCGGCAGCAAGAGGAGGGAGCTTTGACGACCCCGTCACCGAAGACGCAGGCGCGGCAGCCACGGCAGCAACAACAGCAACGAGAAGAGGAAATGGCCCGGGAGCCACCCGTGGTAAGGTCCCCTACGGGGGCGGAGCAGGGGTCTCGGAGTAGGCCACTGACTGTCGATAGGGCTACTAGCCCTATCGACTTTAATAATAATTCTAGTCATTGTTCTTGTGATCGTCCTAGGTTAAGTATTATCGCCAGCAGCGCGACTAATTGCCCCGGGTCAAACCGGGGCTCTGTTTTCAGATCGAACGGGCTGAGCAGGGGGGGCCGAGGGGGCACCATTAACAGCATTAACAATAGAAGCACCCGCGAAACAACCGCACGAAGAGTACCCCCCAGGGGTCGGGCCCCACAGTCGCCCGCGACGCACTGGCGGGGGAGAGTGACGCCCCCAAATTCACCTGAGCGCCGGGGATCCCGGAGAGGGCGCGACCCGCGTCGGGACACACGGCTCCCTGATGCCGTCTCACACGCCGGCCGACTCGACGAACCGACCCTCGACACCGACCGACCCGAAGGGCTCCGTAGGAGCACGAGGGCAGCGATAGGTGTCGAAAGGGCAGGTCTCGCTGAGGAAGCCGAAACGGTGACGACGCTTCAGGCGCTGGAGGACTTCGCTGCGAAAGTGGCGGAGTTCTTCGTTAAGCATCGGGCCGTGGATACCGAACGGGCCGCAAATCCAGCCACCAGTGGGAGGGGTGGCCGGCCACGACCGGCTGCGAGGAGGGAAGGCGAGTCTCACCGTCCGAGGGACAGTTCGACGATGACCGGTACTCCTGCCGACCGCGAGGAATATGTTCGGGAGGCGACGCGCATTCAGCGCTTGTTCCGTGCGAACCGGAAGCGTGCGGTGCGGGAGGTCCTGAAAGGGTCCTCTCCACACTGTGAGGTGTCGAAGGACGTAGTCCAGCGACACTTCGCAGATATGTATGCTCTCCGGGATCGCGCGGGGCCCCTCCCGACTGTCCATTACGAGACAGCACAGGGGAGTGACGCTCTGGTGTCGACATGTACGGCCACCGAGGTGAGCCGCCGCCTGGACCGGATGAAGAAATCTTCTCCGGGTCCCGACGGCGTAACCTACGGTGATTTGCGCGATGCCGACCCAGGCGCCACGCTCCTAACGGCGTTATTTAACGCCTGTCTCAGGATGGAGCATATTCCGCGCGTTTGGAAGGAGTCAAACACCGTTCTTATTTATAAGAAGGGTGACCGGGATGACTTGTCCAACTGGAGACCACTCGCGATGGGTGATACTGTGCCGAAACTCTTCGCCGCTGTTATGGCCGACCGCCTCACTCACTGGGCCGTACAAAACCGACGGCTCTCACGAGGCCAGAAGGGCTTCCTGCCGTACGAGGGGTGCCTTGAGCACAACTTCGTGCTGCAGGAATGCATCGCCGACGCCCGGAGGAAGAAGGGGGAACTGGTGGTGGCGTGGCTGGATCTTTCCAATGCTTTTGGATCGATCCCGCACGCCACTATCCTGGAGTCGCTCTCCAACGCCGGGGTGCCGCGGGCGATGACAAATATCGTCGCCAGTATGTATACAGACTGCGCGACGAGGGTCCGTACCGCTGAGGGGTACACTGATAGAATCCCAATAAGATCGGGAGTAAAGCAGGGCTGCCCCCTTAGCCCTATCCTGTTTAATCTAGCACTAGAACCGGTCGTCCGCGCAGCCGAAGACTCCACTACAGGGTACAACATCGCGGGAGAAAGGATTGTGGAGCTCGCCTACGCGGACGACATCGCGCTGCTGGCGGAGAACGAAGAGGAGATGAGGGCTTTGCTTCGAGAAATTGAGAAGATTGCAGCCAACCTGGGTCTCGCCTTTAATGCAAAGAAATGTGCAACCCTACACATAAGAGGCCGGGACGACGTACTGGACACCGTGTACCGTATCCAGGAGGAACCCGTTCCGGCTCTGGGAAAAGGTGAGTCTTACCAACACCTAGGGATCCCAACCGGGGTTCAGCTTGATCAGACGCCCTACACCACGATCCGAGGCGTGTTGGAGGATCTGGGCGCGCTGGACAGTTCACTCCTTGCCCCCTGGCAGAAAGTCGAGGCGCTGGCGACATTTATTGTCCCGCGTCTCGATTTCCTGCTGAGGGGAGCCAATATGCGGCGAACGATCCTGTCGGAGCTTGACAAGGCTATCAAGCGAACGGTTAAGCTATGGCTCCACTTGCCCCAGCGCGCTAGCCCGGAGGTAGTCCACATTCCCCCGTCACTGGGAGGATGTGGGCTCCCTCCGATAGCAGACCTCGCTGAGGTCACGGCCGTGGCCCACGCATTCAGGATGCTGAATGCTAAGGACCCGGTCGTGGCTCGTATCGCGAGGTCCACGCTGGAAGCTGCCGCGAGCGAGAAGCTTCGTCGAGCTCCGACTGATCGGGATCTTGCCCAGTACCTGTCGGGCTCTTTGGCCGGGGACTGGTCAAGACCAACGACTGGTCGTTCGTCGTTTTGGTCGAGGGTGCGGTCCGTCGCGCTGAGATCCGGAGCGCGTCTCGGTTTTCGCTGGGAGTGGTGCGATGATCGAGCTGAACTCGCGATTGTCATGGAATCCCGAAACGGACGTCGGGTAGTCGTGCCGCCTCTTGCCAAGGCACATGTCATCACCAGGATGAGGGCTGCAGTGACGGAGCACTATGTGTCCTCGCTTCTTCGGAAGCCGGACCAAGGTAAGGTTTTCCAGGCAACCACCCAACATGCGGCGAGCAATCGCTTCATGAGGGGTGGCGCGTTTATCCGCTTTGCTGATTGGAGGTTTATCCATCGCGCCCGCCTCGACGTGCTCCCGTTAAACGGAGCCCGTCGATGGGGGAGCGATGATAAGCGCTGCAGGCGATGCGGATACACGCTGGAAAGCCTTCCTCATGTGCTCTGCCACTGCGGTCCTCATTCTGCCGCCAGGCAGAGACGGCACGACAACCTCGTCCTGAGGTTGAGTAAGGCGATCCGGCTTCCCGGTGAGATCCGGATCAACAGGCGTGTCCCCGGGGCGACAGGAGAGTCTTCGGCGCTTCGCCCGGACATCGTGGTCACGCACGAAGCGTCGAAGACCATTGTACTGGTCGATGTAGCCGTGCCCTTTGAAAATACGATGCAGGCCATCGTAGAGGCAAGATTCGAGAAAATTAACAAGTACCAGCAACTAGCTGATTCTCTGAAAGGGCGCGGCTACAAAGTGTATCTAGATGCTTTCATTGTGGGCGCCCTGGGCGCCTGGGATCCGGGGAACGAGTTCCTCCTGGAACTACTTAGAATCTCGCCGCGATACGCATCATTGATGCGGAAACTGATGGTCGCTGAAACAATCGCGTGGTCCCGGGACATGTATGTTGAGCATGTCTCGGGCATTAGACAGTACACGGTGTCCAGTACTGATAATAATATTAGAGACAACGCGGACCTAGAAGGCGAGGCCCGGGAAACCTCATCTCCTCGAACATGAGGAGCACCGACCAAATATTGACTTTTTTTTTTTTTTTTGCACATTTATTATCTATATATTTATCTATTTCTTTTTTTTTTTTTTCTCTTCTTTATTATCCAAGCATAATATAATATGAAACATGTGTCGGTGCCCCATATTTTAATCTTAAGTGTATCAATGTTCTATTCATTTCTTTTTCTTATATTTACATTAACATTAATTCTCGTTTACTCGCTAGATGCATTGATACAGTAAGACTGATATTTATTTACATATTTTATCTACATATTTTTACATATTTATATATTTATATTGATTATATATTTTTTTAGCGCAAACACTGGGCGTGTAAACATTTAAAGAAGACCCACTGCCAGGGCCATTTGCCCCTTCTTTCTAGTATTGCAATGTCGAGCTAGCATATGGAAGACTCGCGACGCATGCAGCGGGAGTTGCTCTCGTTGCATTAAACCAATATGTTTTTTTTTCTTTGCTCTATATTACATTTGGGGCCAGGCCCACAACCTGGAAAATGTACCACCTCAGGGACTTGTCCCTGAGGAAACATATTTTGAAAATAAAAGCGCTTATCTGTTCTTATCAGCTTAATATCTGATACACTCCCCATCGGGGAGTCAGAATATTAACCTTATTTTTGGAATTGGTCGGACTCCGGGGCTTGCTCCGACTCCGACACGGGTCGTACCTGCCTTGCAGTGCCGCAGGACGCGGCCCACATATACTACATAAAACACATTGCATTCTTCTTTCTTTCTAATATTCTGACTCCTCTTTTCTATTCTAGTCTAGTGCTTTTTTGTATTTTTATTTTTCTTTTATCCGCGATCGCGCTCGCGTCTGGCTTTTCCAACGGCGATGCGACTCGCTCAGCACAGCGGCGACTGACTGCGCGGTAAGTGGAGCTTGGGAGTCTGGTGGTGGTTTCTCGTAGTGTAGCGTTACTGTAGAGTGGTGCCACCTGGAGCAGGCAAAGCGCTGTCGACTCCAGGCGGACTGTTTCGATATATCGAAACCCTTTCGCGCCGTATCCGATTCCGGTGCGGCTTTGCTCGCGTTTGCTTTGTTTTGATTCTATGTTTAGCTGTTATCCGTGAGAACGCTGGTCGTTTAAACCGATAACAGCTGTTTGTCCCACTAACCGACTTGCTGAAATCCACTTTTTGCTGTAGTTTTTGTGCTCCCGTATAGGCTAAATATAGACATTTAGACCGTTACGGGTAGACTTCATCTATTATTCTAGCTATTTAGCTAGAAATTTTTCTATTTGCAGTAGAGTAATTATTATTTTTCCGATTAATTATCGAGGTACACGGGTCCCTTTACAACTTGTGTAACTCGATATCCACAGTTTAGTCCCCTGTGTGCGGTAATTTGCAGATTTAATTTGCAAATTATCGCGGAGAGCGACTCGCACGGTCGTCTTCTCGTTTCGTTCGTTTTGTTTTTTTACTTTCTGATCTCTCTAATCTAGTCACTAGATTAAGGTTTTTATTTTTTATTTTTATTTTAGTTTATCTATTTCGATTTTACTTTTATTTTATTTATTTTCTTTTAGTCATTTTTTATTCTCGCGACGTATATACCTATTATTTAGGTATATATCCCCGCTTTACTCTATTCTATTTTATTCTTGACATTATTTTCTTTATTTTGCATATTTTATTTATTTATCTTAGTGCTAGGCTTAAATATTGACTGGGGAGTCCCTAAATTCTACGCTCTCTATTATACTGACTATTTTATTTTATTTATTCTACCAATTTATTTATTTATTTATTTTACTATATATTTTAAAATGACTTCGACGACGAACCCCCAGCCGAGTTGCACCGCCAGGGGTAACGAAGTTATTATCACCTTCCCCCCTCCCGAAACCTTCCCGTGCCCCTTCTGTAATGAAGGGGCACCCCCATCCAGAATGAAGGTGGCCGTGTACCAGCGGCACGAGGACTTAGGCAAACACCTGCGCCTCCACCACCATGGCGCCAGCAGAAGGTGGGTCTGCGGGGTCTGCTTCTTCACCGACGACAGCGCTTATGCGCTGAAGAAGGTGAGGAAGCACCACGCAGACTCCCATGCAAATAATGCGGTGCCTCGTGCCGCTGGGGCACGGACATCTGCCCCCGCGGGAAGGGTTAGTGGCGGTGCACCCTCGGTTGGGGGGGATTCAGCCGAGGAGCGACCCTCTATTGACGTGGCTTTGCCCGAGACGACGCAGAGGCCTTCTCCGTCACCACTGGAAGCGGCGGCACCCACCACGCGTGGAGGCGCGCTAGCGCGCGCCAAGAAAACTACTACCTCAACCAACTCCCGGACCACGGTGGCTGCCAAACCAAGCAACGCGCCGAAGAGAAAACCGGTCATCACTTCTACGGTGACGGGGAGGAATTTATTGACGGGCTGGGCCATTAAAAAGACGGCAGCGACATCGACCACGAGGAAGAGCGGGACGCCGTCCAGCCCCGCTGATGGACGACCTCCATCCACGGGGAGTCCCGCCACCCCGCCGACCGTGGATCTCACCACACCTCCAGCGGGAACCGGCGCCGCCAAAAGGACCAGCGGCGGGTCAGTGTCAATGAGGAGGCCGAGCGGGGGTGCATCCACCACCCTGACCCCCCCCATAAAGGAAAAGGAGAAGAGCCCGGGGACGAAGAGAAGGAGCACCCGGGCTACGACGGAGCCTCCTCAACCTGGCCCGCCCCAACGGACAGCAGCCAGGAAGGTGACCCCCGCCGTCACCTACGCTGAAGTGACCAGGGGCACGTCGACCGTCACCACAACCATGACGACGAGGAGGATGGCACGGGCGACCTCCCTCCCGCCTGTGCCGAGGAATGACAAGGATGGGGGCGCATCTACCACCCAAGCGCCCCCCACCATGCCAGTGACGGCGACGTGCACCTTCGCGACGGCGGGGACACTGACCTTAACGACGACCTCGGTCTATAGCAAGCCGGTGGCCGTCGTCACCGTCGCTACAAGAAGGAGCGGAGGGGGAATCTCGCCGAGGGGGCTGAAGAAAAAGATTCAGGAGGATACGGTGCTCCTGGAGTCCGCGCCGACGACCAGGGCGCGGGCTACTAGGGCAACCACCGAGCCCCCTCGGACCCCCCCCAGGGCGAAACAGACGAAGAAAAGGAGGAGCCCACCAGCGGATATGAGCCCTGCGACGGTGAGCGACACGGCCACCCCGACAACACCGGAGGAGCGCCCTGCAACAAGGAGGAGTACCCGGGCGAAAACCCTCTCGCCTGGGTCAATACAAGAGAAGAGGAGGGGGGACGGGACTACTACCTTACCGTCCCCCGCAGGGCGCCCCGGGAGAAGAAGGATTCTCCCAGCTATAGCCGAGGCGTCGCCAGTGGTCACCGCGGCGCCGATAAAGGAAAAGGAGAAGAAGAAGGAAAAGGAACAGGAAGATGAAGAGAAGGGAGAATGGCGGGACTTCACGCCGCGGATCAGGAGGAGAAGGGTTGGACGGCGTGAAGAGGAGGGAGAGACGACAAACCCGTCACCGAGGACGCAGGCGCGGCAGCCACCCCGATTACATGACGAAGGGGCTGAAGAGGAAGTGGTCCGGGTACCGCGTGTGGTTGAGGTCTCCGTGGCGTCGGAGCAAGGGCCTCCAAGTGATAAGGTGACCATTGACAGGGGGACTAGCCCTGTCAATTTTAATATTAATAATACCAATAATAACAATAATAATAATTCTAGTCATAATTGCTGTGAGTGTGTATGTCCTAGGTTAAGTAATGTCGCCAGCAGCGTGACTAATTGCCCCGGGTCAAACCGGGGCTCTGTTTTCAGCAATAATGGGCAGAGCAGGAGGGGCCGAGGGGGCACCGTCAACAGTACGAGAGCAGGAACCCGCGAAGCTAGAGCTAGAGGAGTACCCCCCAGAGGTCGGGCCCCACAGACGCCCGCGACGCACCGGCGAGAGAGAGTGACCCCCCCGCCTTCACCTGAGCGCCGGGGATCCCGGAGAGGGCGCGACCCACATCGGGACACACGGCTCCCTGATGCCGTCCCACACGCCGGCCGACCCGGCGAACCAACCCGCGGTGCCGACCGACCCGAAGTGCTCCGTAGGAGCACGAGGGCAGCGATAGGCATCGAAAGGGCAGGTCTCGTTGAGGAAGCCGAAACGGTGGCGACGCTTCAGGCGCTGGAGGACTTCGCTGCGAAAGTGGCGGAGTTCTTCGTTAAGCATCGGGCCGTGGATACCGAGCGGGCCGCAAATTCAGCCACCAGTGGGAGGGGTGGCCGGCCACAAGCGGCTGCGAGGAGGGAGGGTGAGTCTCGCCGTCCGAGGGACAGCTCGACGACGACCGGTACTCCTACCAACCGCGAGGAATATGTTCGGGAGGCGACGCGCATCCAGCGCTTGTTCCGTGCGAACCGGAAGCGTGCGGTGCGGGAGGTCCTGAAAGGGTCCTCCCCACACTGTGAAGTGTCGAAGGACGTAGTCCAGCGACACTTCACAGAAATGTACGCTCCTCGGGATCGTGCGGGGCCCCTCCCGACTATCCATTACGAGACAGCACAGGAATGTGACGCTCTGGTGTTGGCATGTACGGCCGCCGAGGTGAGTCGCCGCCTGGACCGGATGAAGAAATCTTCTCCGGGCCCCGACGGCGTAACCTACGGTGATTTGCGCGATGTCGACCCAGGTGCCACGCTCTTAACGGCGTTGTTCAACGCCTGTCTCAAGATGGAGCATATTCCGCGCGTCTGGAAGGAGTCCAACACCGTTCTTATTCATAAGAAGGGTGACCGGGATGACTTGTCGAACTGGAGACCTCTCGCGATGGGCGATACCCTGCCCAAACTCTTCGCCGCTGTAATGGCCGACCGCCTCACTCACTGGGCCGTACTTAACCGACGGCTCTCACGAGGCCAAAAGGGCTTCCTGCCGTACGAGGGGTGCCTTGAGCATAACTTCGTGCTGCAGGAATGCATCGCCGACGCTCGGAGGAAGAAAGGGGAACTGGTGGTGGCGTGGCTGGATCTTTCCAATGCTTTTGGATCGATCCCGCACGCCACTATCTTGGAGTCGCTCTCCAACGCCGGGGCACCGCGGGCGATCACAAATATCGTCGCCAGCCTATACACAGACTGTGCGACGAGGGTCCGCACCTCTGAGGGATACACGGAAAAAATCCCCATTCAATCAGGGGTAAAACAGGGATGCCCCCTCAGCCCCATCCTGTTCAATCTCGCAATTGAGCCCCTACTCCGCGTAGCCGAGGAATCGACCGGTGGCTACGAGATCGCGGGTGAAACGGTCGATGAGCTTGCCTACGCGGATGATCTCACGCTGCTGGCGACATACGAGGAGGAGATGAGGGATATGCTGCAAAACGTTGAAGTTACTGCCAACAACTTGGGTCTCGCCTTCAACGCGAAGAAATGTGCAACTCTGCATTTACGAGGCCGGGACGACGTACTGGACACCGTGTACTGTATCCAGGAGGAACCCGTTCCGGCTCTGGGAAAAGGTGAGCCCTACCAGCATCTAGGGGTCCCAACCGGGGTTCAGCTCGATCAGACGCCCTACACCACGATCCGTGGCGTGTTAGAGGACCTGGGCGCGGTGGACCAGTCACTGCTCGCCCCCTGGCAGAAGATCGAGACGGTGGCGACATTCATTGTCCCCCGTCTCGATTTCCTGCTTAGGGGAGCCAACATGCGACGAATGGCCCTGTCGGAGCTCGACAAGGCTATCAAGCGGACGGTCAAGCTATGGCTTAACCTGCCCCAGCGGGCTAGCCCGGAGGTGGTCCACATTCCCCCGTCACTGGGAGGGTGTGGACTCCCTCCGATAGCCGACCTCGCGGAGGTTACGACCGTGGCTCACGCATTCAGGATGCTGAATGCGGGTGACACGGTCGTGGCTAACATCGCGAGGTACTCGCTGGAAGCTGCCGCGAGCGAGAAGCTTTGCCGGGCTCCGACTGGTCGGGATCTTGCCCAGTACCTGTCGGGCTCTTTGGCCGGGGACTGGTCAAGACCAACGACGGGTCGTTCGTCGTTTTGGTCGAGGGTGCGATCCGCTGCGCTGAGGTCTGGAGCGCGTCTCGGTTTTCGCTGGGAGTGGTGCGATGATCGAGCTGAACTCGCGGTTGTGATGGAGTCCCGAAATGGACGTCGGGTGGTCGTGCCGCCTCAGGCCAAGGCACACGTCATCACCAGGATGAGGGCCGCAGTGACGGAGCACTACCTGTCCTCGCTTCTTCGGAAGCCGGACCAAGGAAAGGCTTTCCAGGCAACCACCCAACATGCGGCGAGCAATCGCTTCATGAGGGGTGGTGCGTTTATCCGCTTCGCTGATTGGAGGTTTATTCATCGCGCCCGCCTCGACGTGCTCCCGTTAAACGGAGCCCGTCGATGGGGGAGCGATGATAAGCGCTGCAGGCGATGCGGATACACGCTGGAAAGCCTTCCTCATGTGCTCTGCCACTGCGGTCCTCATTCTGCCGCCAGGCAGAGACGGCACGACAACCTCGTCCTGAGGCTGAGTAGGGCGATCCGGCTCCCCGGTGAGATCCGGGTCAATAGGCGTGTTCCCGGGGCGTCAGGAGTGTCTTCGGCGCTTCGCCCGGACATTGTAGTCACGCACGAAGCGTCGAAGACCATAGTTCTGGTCGATGTAGCCGTGCCCTTTGAAAATACGATGCAGGCCATCGTAGACGCGCGTATGGAGAAAATTAACAAATACCAAGACCTAGCAGATTCTCTAAAGGGGCGCGGCTACAAAGTTTATTTAGATGCATTTATCGTTGGCGCCCTGGGCGCCTGGGATCCGGGGAGCGAGTTCCTCCTGGAACTACTCAGAATTTCACCGCGATACGCGTCTTTAATGCGCAAACTTATGATTGCAGAAACAATCGCGTGGTCCCGAGACATATACGTCGAACATGTCTCGGGCATTAGACAGTACACGGTGTCCAGTACTGAGAACCATAATGACAATAACAGGGTCAACGTCGACGAACTGGAAGGCGGGGCCCGCGTACCCTCATCTCCTCCTCAGGCATGAACACCGAGAGTAAAGTACACGTAATATGCCTTGTTTCTCTTTTTCTCTTCTTTTCGTTCTCCTTTCTTTTTTTTTTTTTTTTTTTTTTTTTTTTTCCTTCTCCTTTTTTTTTTCCTTTCCTCATTATTTCATTCTTCTTCTTCTGTTTTACCAACCCACCTAGCCCAGGCTCTACTCGGTGTTCTATATGCTACTTCTCCTTACTCTATTTGCGCTATTTCTGTTTTTACTGTCTTCTTTTACTTATGCTCATGGCTGGATCTAATAATTTTCTAGTCATATCTATATCTATTTAATAACTATACTCGTAATCTACGCTTATATCCATTCCATATTTATGCTATACGTGTGCATCAATACCTATATTTACATTCATCACTATTTATATTTATTCTCATGCACTTGCACACAACTAATAACTACATTAAAAGAAGACATAAGCGGGCCAATAGCTCCTTCTTTCTAATATTTAAATGGCGAACCTCGCTCGATACGATAAACGCGACGCATGCAACGGGAAAATGTTCCCGCTGCACTAGATTATTTTTTTTTTTGCCTATTGTTTCTGAAGGGCTACGCCCTAGACTGCTGTATATGTACCCCCCCAGAGGTTCGCCTCTGGGGAAACATTAATTGTTAAAATAAAGCGCAATTTATCTGTTCTTATCAGCTTAATATCTGATACACTCCCCATTGGGGAGTCAGAATATTAATCTCATTTTTGAAAACGGTCGGATTTCGGAGCTTGCTCCGACTCCGACACGGGTCGCACCTGTATTGCATTACCGCAGGACGCGGCCCACACATACTACTATAAACATATTTTCTTTTCTATTTCTTTCTTTTAAATATTCTGACTCCTCTTCTCTTTTCTCTAGTCTTTTTTGTATTTTTATTTTCTTTTATCCGCGATCGCGTTGGCTTTTCCAACGGCGGTGCGACTCGCTCAGCACAGCGGCGACTGACTGCGCGGTAAGTGGAGCTTGGGAGTCTGGTGGTGGTTTCTCGTAGTGTAGCGTACTGTAGAGTGGTGCCACCTGGAGCAGGCAAAGCGCTGTCGACTCCAGGCGGACTGTTTCGATATATCGAAACCCTTTCGCGCCGTATCCGATTCCGGTGCGGCTTTGCTCGCGTTTGCTTTGTTTTGATTATATGTTTAGCTGTTATCCGTGAGAACGCTGGTCGTTTAAACCGATAACAGCTGTTGTTCCACTAACCGACTTTCCGAAATCCACTTTTTGCTGTAGTTTTTGTGCTCCCGTATAGGCTAAATATAGATATTTAGACCGTTACGGGTAGACTTTATTCCATTATTCTAGCTATTTAGCTAGAAATTTTTCTATTTGCAGTAGATTAATCATTCTTTTTCCGATAATTATCGAGGTACACGGGTCCCTTTACAACTTGTGTAACTCGATATTAACAGTCTAGTCCCCTGTGTGCGGTAATTTGCAGATTTAATTTGCAAATTATCGCGGAGAGCGACTCGCACGGTCGTCCTCGTTTCGTTCGTTTTGTTTTTATTCTTTTGATCTCTAATCTAGTCACTAGATTAAGGTTTTTACTTTATTTTATTATTTTGATCTATTTATTCTACTTTTATTTTTATTTATTTTCGTTTATTTATTTCCTTTCTTTTTATTTCCGCGACGTATATACCATAGGTATATATACCCGTTTTTGTTTTTATTCGTTGATTTTATTTTCGTTCTATTTTATTTTTGTCATTTTATTTTATCTATTTATTTTCTTAGTTTTAAGTTTTAATTATTGACTGGGGAGTCCCTACACTTCTTCTTTCTAATTAATTGACCATTACTCTATTTTATACATTTATACATTTATCTATTTATTTTACTATTTATTTTAATATGAGTAATGCGACGAGCCCTCAGCCGAGCTGCACTGCCAGGGGAAATGATGTTATAATTACGTTCCCCTTTCCCGAGACATTCCCCTGCCCCTTCTGCAACGTAGGGGTGCCGTCCAACTGGATCCGGTCGGCCGTGTACCAGCGGCACGAGGACCTGGGGAAGCATTTGCGCATCCACCATCCCGGCGCAAAAAGAAAGTGGGTCTGCGGGGTGTGCTTCTTCACGGACGACAGTGTCTACGCACTGAAGAAAGTGAGGAAGCACCACGCAGACTCACATAAAGGTAGTGCAGAGCCTCGTGCCGCTGGGGCGCGGCCGTCGGTCAGCACGAGTAGTAGCAGTAGGGACGGCGGCAGTGCACCCCTGGCTGAGGGTGATTCAGCCGAGAAGCGACCCCAACCCGACGCGGCGCCAGCCGAGACGACCCCGAGGCCCTCTCCGTCACCGTTGGAAGCGGCAGGGACCACCACGCGTGGAGGCGCGCTAACGCGCGCCGCTAGAACTACCTTAACCAACTCCCGGACCACCGTGGCTGCCAAAACCAGAGCTGCGCCGAAGAAGATGCCAGTAATCACTTCATCGGTGACGGGGAGAAACTTATTGACGAGCTGGGCCGTGAAACCGACAGCGACAAGGAAGAGCGGGACGCCGTCCAGCCCCGCCGATGGACGACCTCCATCCTCGGGGAGTCCTGCCACCCCGCCGACCGTGGATCTCACCACCCCACCAGCGGGGACCGGCGCCGCTAAGAGGACCAGCGGCGGGCCAGTGTCAATGAGGAGGCCAAGCGGGGGGGTAACTTCCACCTTAACCCTCCCACTAAAAGAGAAGGAAAAGAGCCCGGGGGCAAAGAGAAGGAGCACCCGGGCGACAACGGAGCCTCCTCAACCTGGCCCGCCCCGACGAACCACCACCACCACCACGACCAGGAAGGTGTCACCCGCTGTTACCTATGCAGAGGTCACTAGGGGCACGTCGACCACCACCACAACCATGACGACGAGGAGGATGACACGGGCAACCTCCCTCCCGCCCGTGCCAAAAGAAGGAGACAGGGGCGCATCCACAGCACAAGCGCCCCCCACCAGGCCAGTGGTGGCGACGTGCACCTTTGCAACGGCGGGAACACTGACCCTGACGACGACCTCGGTCTATAGCAAACCGGTGGCAGTCGTAACCGTCGCAACAAGAAGGAGCGGGGGGGGAACCTCGCCGAGGGGGTTCAAGAAGAGGATACAGGAGGATACGGTGCTCCTGGAGTCCGCGCCGACGACCAGGGCGCGGGCTGCCAGGGCAACCACGGAGCCCCCTCGGACCCCCCCCAGGACAAGGAACACGGGAAAGAGGAGCCCGCCAACGGGATGTGCGACGGTGAGCGACATGGCCACCCAGAAGACGCCGGAGGAGCGCCCTGTAACGAGAAGGAGTACCCGGGCGAAGACTCTGTCGCCCGGGTCGACACTAGAGAAGAAGATGAAGGGGGACGGACCTGCCACCCTACCGTCCCCCATTACAGGGCGCACCGGGAGAAGGAACCTTCTCCCTGCTATAGCCGAGGCGTCGCCAGCTATACCAGCGGCGCCGGTGGAGGCACCGAAGAGTGGAGGAGGAGGAGGAAGAAGAAGACAAGTAGGTGAAGAAGAGGAGGACTGGCGGGACGTCACGCCGCGGAACAGGAGGAGAAGGGCTGGGCGGCAACAAGAGGAGGGAGCATTGACGACCCCGTCACCGAAGACGCCGGCGCGGCAGCCACGGCAAGATCAACAAGTGCAACACGAAGAGGATGTGGTCTGGGGGTCACGCGTGGTAAGGACCCCTACGGAGACGGAGCAGAGGCCTCGTAGTAAACCTCTGACTGTCGATAGGGCTACTAGCCCTATCGACTTTAACAACAATATTTCTAGTCAATGTTCTTGTGATCGTCCTAGTTTAAGAATAACCGCCAGCAGCGCGACTAATTGCCCCGGGTCAAACCGGGGCTCTGTTTTCAGATCGAATGAGCAGAACAGGAGGGGCCGAGGGGGCACCATTAACAACACTAACAATAGAAGCTCCCGCGAAACAATTACACAAAGAGTACCCCCCAGAGGTCGGGCCCCACAGTCGCCCGCGACGCACCGGCGGGGGAGGATGACGCCCCCGACTTCACCTGAGCGCCGGGGATCCCGGAGAGGGCGCGACCCGCGTCGGGACACACGGCTCCCTGATGCCGTCTCACACGCCGGCCGACTCGACGAACCGACCCCCGACACCGACCGACCCGAAGGGCTCCGTAGGAGCACGAGGGCAGCGATAGGTGTCGAAAGGGCAGGTCTCACTGAGGAAGCCGAAACGGTGACGACGCTTCAGGCGCTGGAGGACTTCGCTGCGAAAGTGGCGGAGTTCTTCGTTAAGCATCGGGCCGTGGATACCGAACGGGCCGCAAATCTAGCCACCAGTGGGAGGGGTGGCCGGCCACGACCGGCTGCGAGGAGGGAAGGCGAGTCTCACCGTCCGAGGGACAGTTCGACGACGACCGGTACTCCTGCCGACCGCGAGGAATATGTTCGGGAGGCGACGCGCATTCAGCGCTTGTTCCGTGCGAACCGGAAGCGTGCGGTGCGAGAGGTCCTGAAAGGGTCCTCTCCACACTGTGAGGTGTCGAAGGACGCAGTCCAGCGACACTTCGCAGATATGTATGCTCTCCGGGATCGCGCGGAGCCCCTCCCGACTATCCATTACGAGACAGCACGGGGGAGTGACGCTCTGGTGTCGACATGTACGGCCACCGAGGTGAGCCGCCGCCTGGACCGGATGAAGAAATCTTCTCCGGGTCCCGACGGCGTAACCTACGGTGATTTGCGCGATGTCGACCCAGGCGCCACGCTCCTAACGGCGTTATTCAACGCCTGTCTCAGGATGGAGCATATTCCGCGCGTTTGGAAGGAGTCAAACACCGTTCTTATCTATAAGAAGGGTGACCGGGATGACTTGTCCAACTGGAGACCACTCGCGATGGGCGATACTGTGCCGAAACTCTTCGCCGCTGTAATGGCCGACCGCCTCACTCACTGGGCCGTACAAAACCGACGGCTCTCACGAGGCCAGAAGGGCTTCCTGCCGTACGAGGGGTGCCTTGAGCACAACTTCGTGCTGCAGGAATGCATCGCCGACGCCCGGAGGAAGAAGGGGGAACTGGTGGTGGCGTGGCTGGATCTTTCCAATGCTTTTGGATCGATCCCGCACGCCACTATCCTGGAGTCGCTCTCCAACGCCGGGGTGCCGCGGGCGATGACAAATATCGTCGCCAGTATGTATACAGACTGCGCGACGAGGGTCCGTACCGCTGAGGGGTACACTGATAAAATCCCAATAAGATCGGGAGTAAAGCAGGGCTGCCCCCTTAGCCCTATCCTGTTTAATTTAGCGCTAGAGCCGGTCGTCCGCGCAGCCGAAGACTCCACAACAGGCTACAACATCGCGGGAGAAAGGATTGTGGAGCTCGCCTATGCGGACGACATCGCGCTGCTGGCGGAGAGCGAAGAGGAGATGAGGGTTTTGCTTCGAGAAATTGAGAAGATTGCAGCCAACCTGGGTCTCGCCTTTAATGCAAAGAAATGTGCAACCCTACACATAAGAGGCCGGGACGACGTACTGGACACCGTGTACCGTATCCAGGAGGAACCCGTTCCGGCTCTGGAAAAAGGTGAGTCTTACCAACACCTAGGGATCCCAACCGGGGTTCAGCTTGATCAGACGCCCTACACCACGATCCGAGGCGTGTTAGAGGATCTGGGCGCGCTGGACCGTTCACTCCTTGCCCCCTGGCAGAAAGTCGAGGCGCTGGCGACATTTATTGTCCCGCGTCTCGATTTCCTGCTGAGGGGAGCCAATATGCGGCGAACGATCCTGTCGGAGCTTGACAGAGCTATCAAGCGGACGGTTAAGCTATGGC